GGCAGTTCTACTTTCAGTTCCTTTCCCTCGCTCCCCTTTTTGTTCTTTAACCACTTATTGATCTGTAAGCAGACCCCCGTCTCATTCCAGGAATGCTAAGTTTGCTCTGGAGTCTTTGTTGAGGGACTTTGTCAAGCCTTTTGGAAGTCCAAGTAAACAGTATCTATTGGATCACCCTTATCCATGTGCTTATTAATGCTCTCTAATCACTATGTATGGATGTGAAAGCTGGTCAGAAAACTGATCCATTTGAAACATGGTGCTGGAGAAAAGCTTTGCAAACGTTCTAGCCTAACAGGAAGATGAACAAATCAAGATTGAATCAAGCTAGATCAAATCAAGCTAGAACATGCTCTGGAAGCAAGATGCTCTGGAGAAAACAACCATGCTAGGAAAAGTCAAAGATGGAAGGAGAGGCAAACCAGCTATGAGATGGATTGATGACCTAAAGGAAGCCACAGCTTTGAGTTTACTGAGCTAAGCAGGAACATACTGGACAGGATGTTTTTGAGGGCATTCATTCAAAGGGTCGCTGTAAGTCAGAGATGATGTGATAGCATGTAATAAAAGAAAGACTTTCCCCCTTCCTCCACAGAGTCAGGCAGACAGGTGAAGCCAACATCAGACAGCTGGTTCTGCTTCAACTGGCCTGCCCCTTGAGGACTTTAGTTGAAAAGCTGGATATAAACCCCCGCTATGGAATGCGCTCTCTAGAGAGGTCTGTCATTATATGCTTTTCAGCACCAGGTCAAGACCTTTTTATTCATCCAATATTTTAATGTTTAATAGATTTTTAATTATTTTTATTTCAGTCATGGGTTACTTAATTTTATTATTGGTTGGGGTATTAACGATATTTATATTTATACTGTTGTATTTATTGATCTTGTTGTGAGCTGTCCAGAGATGCAGATACCTAGAAACATCCCAAACAAACAAACAAATATTACAGACAAAGGCTACTCATAGCATAGTGGGAATTACAAAGTAGGTCACAGTATCTCCAGAATCACCTCAGAAGTTTAAATTTTGCACAGCCTTTGAACTAGACTCAGGTGCAATGATAAAAGCAAGAGGGAGATGCATCACCCTCTTTTTTCTGATTTCTAGTTAATTTTTATTCAATTCTTCCAAGTTGCTTGGGGTAGCCTATTTGCCAAAACATGGTGAAGATACTACTCTTTTAGTCAGTGGCCCAGACCTGATGTTTACAGAAATCCTATTAACCCTGCAGATGTTTTCTGCTGGTTTCACAAACTATACATTCAACAGTAGTATTTGAATAAAGTCAAGATAAATAAATTCTCTAGACAACAAGTTCCCAACAACAAGCTTTCAAAACACACAAGACTAGCAATGTTAATGTGTGCCATAAAGTTGTCAGATATTGTAGCTCAGGCCAGGTGTGTGCAGAAGGAAGGATGGCATCTTCTTGTAGAGTTTTGGGTACCCTGCTGCAAATCATCAAGAGTTTTGATCATTTAATAGCAGCAAGAACAAAAAATGTTTTTCCCCAGCCATTCAAGATTAGGCAGCAAGGCTAAAAGAAAAATTTGGGAGTAAACAAGAAATGGGCTTTGTGCAATGGGATCATGAACTCAGCTCAAGTAAAACAAGTTCTTGGCTGGCTCCAGCAAATACCACTCATCTCTCACCTTCGAAGCCAGTATTTTGCAACTGGCTCCAACCAGTGCACAGTGGAGTTCTGGTAAAAATCCAACTAGGTTCCACAGGTCTGAAGTCTAATGATGCCTTTTTGCAGAGACCCAAGTACTGTGGATGTATGATTGTGGATCCTACCAGCAACAGGAGATCTGGTGGTCTGGCCCCGGCTGCCACTTCATTAATACGAGGTGAGGGGGAATAGAGGCTAAATTGTAGATCATGCTTCATGATATTCATGAGCATCTATGTCCCTGTACCTACTATCCAAATCTTGTGATATTTGCTGGAGCCAAGTGGAAACAGTATTAGAAGACAGCAAGCAACATTCAGTTCTGTAGAACAGAGACAGTATGCATGTCCAGTTAAACTAGGAATTGTGCACTGAAAGATTTGTTTTCCTAAGTGACATATTATCTCAAGAACAACCAGTCCCAGAATTCCTTGTCAGTAGACATTCCTAGTGAGGGGCACCTTTTGTTACTGTTATATAAACAGGCTAAAAACAAATAATAAATTTTGAAAAATCTTGGTGGAAGCCAGAAAACAAAAACAAGTTTGTACCATTTCTGCAGCTTGAAACAAATTACCAATACTGAAACAATAACCACAAGATACACACCCTTTTCAGTGTTCTACAATTTACCAGATTAAAGGAGGGCAATAAAGTTTCAGTTTTACCTCAAGTCATCTCCACCCATACCCCAGCCTTTTAAGAGTGTCTGTTTTCCATAGGAAAGAAAAAACATGATGCTTTCAGAGATGCTGTTTGTCCTTGTAATTCAAAAGGAACTGCTTCAGAAACCTACTATTCTTAAGATCTTTTTTCCATGACAGAATTCTAACATGAAAAGATTTTGAAAAGTTATCTTGCACTAAGCAATGAAACAAAACTCATTATACTGAATAATCACAGTACTCTAAAGCACAATAAGATAGTGTTTTCCAAGATACATACATAACAGTGCAGTCCTATTGTCTCTTTCATTGAGTTCAGTGGCCCTTGCTTCCAGACAACATTGCAGCCTTGAAATGCTCTCTTGGAGCACTTGAGGGAAAACTTACCAAGTCAGTTGTAGTGCAATGAGAGAGTAAGTAATTGTATCATACTGTTCCAAAGACTTTAGACATTGGTCCAACTTGGTAAAAAGGGGACCATCTTTATAGATCTATCCCAGTCTCCCTAACCCAGTGCATCCTAGCATGATCATTGGATTCCCAGGTTGAGGGTGTAAACATTTTACAGATCTATCAAAATTCTGTGATCTCATTGAAATTAACCAGTCACCTCTGATGCATTTGAAGATGTTAAGGTTCACTAGCAAAAGTATTACTGCAACTTTCCAAAAGTTATTGCATTATTCATTCATAATCCTGCTAAATAAACTATGTACACAAGATGTCCTCAATCTGGAATTGACTGTTTTCTGGAATTCTGTAAGTTAGTGAAGTCTAATTATAACCTGTATTATTAGATGTGAAAGAAACAGGATCCTTCTGATGCAAGCAGCTCTTGATGAACCTATCTGTCAATTTTGGATGCTTCTCAGATCTCCACCAGTGTTTCATTTAAAAATATAAATTTCCACCTTTAGGCTTTCACAAATGTATCCATAATCTTACTGACTGCCTCCTCAATATTCTATGGACAGAACAGAAGACTTGTTCCAGCTAGTCTATGATGCTGTTTTTTAAAAAAAACAAAACATGATTTCTAATGTTTCTGAAAAGATAACTGAAGTGCTTTGATACTCTGTTGCAGAAGATCAGCAATCATGGCTAGTTTAGCTAAAGGTGAGCTTCATTTGAAGAAAAAAAGTGCCTAAAATTGTTTCCTGTTAGAGGCTGGGATCCACATAGGTGTTTTCAGTATCCTGGGCACAGGTGATATACACTTTACTTTTCTTTGAGCAGCAAGTCCTCCTTACAGCATATGTTCTTTTTGAAACCCATTCCACCTTGGATGAACAAGCTAATTTGATTGATTGATTGATTTATATCCTGCCTTTTTCCTACAAAGGGCTCAAGGCAGCTTATATCATTCTCCTCCTCCATCTTATTCCCACAACAACAACAACAACCCTGTGAGGTAGGTTGGGCTGAGAGGCTGTGACTGGCCCAAAGTCCCCCAGTTGGCTCCATGGTGGAGCGGGGACTCGAACCCAGGTCGTCTGAGTCCCAGTCCCATGCTCTTAGCCACTACACCACACTGGCTTTTCCCTGACTATGAGAAAAAGAGCACGCACAAGTCAAGATTCTCAATTCACATGGATGTCCAAGGGCTTCCAGAGTTCATGTAAGCTGTGCTTTCTTGCTTATGACACATTTTCTCAGGTGCCTCCTTTCTCAGGTGCCTTTTGCCAAACAAGCTGCCCATTCCTGTTCTGCAGAGTCTCACTTGTGATCAAATGAATCACTATGTAAAGAAGTTCAAATGATTCATTCTAGAACAAACAGCTAAACAACGTCTGGCTAATAAATACACTGATGCTTAGAGGGTGCTGATTTTGAGCCTAACAGTATTGTTATGAGATCACCTAAGATTTGCAAGTTCTTGGTGGTAAAGAAGGATCAACTTATTTGTTTAGTCAGTGGTTAGCACAGCAGGTTTAACCAAAAAAACAAGAGATGGTGTTGTTTGCTCTAAGTCAAATTGAAATGGAAAGCCTTTAACCAAAAAGGTTCTCTCATTCTTTGTGGGACACTAAGTGCAGGTTTATTACTCGTTTGAGCTAGATGCTTTACCACATAGTCGCATCTCTGTTGTGGGCTTGGTTGTGGAGATAACACACACTTCCCATGTTTGCAATGGAATTCATTGCCCCCAAAGAATGCTCTTGTTACTAAGTCAACTGCCATCTGTGGTAAACTCACTGTTATCTATTGGATACTTTCCCATTATGCATGTCACAAGTTCAACTACATCTCTCTCTCTTCTCTTCCCACATTTTGTTAATGGCAGGGGGCAGTATTTAAAAATATATAATGCATACTTAATGGTCTTCGGTGTAAAAATGGATATTCTAGATAGGATCACAGTCTTTCCCTAGCTAATCTACTCATTTTCATTGTATCTTACAAATTGACAATTCTAAATTGAAACAGCATTTTCTGTTTTTTAAAAAATGCGTACATCTGTTTGGTCTTGGTATCACAATCTGAAATGCAACCAGTGAACTCTTCTGTTCCCCTGCCCATGTCCCTATCCACCCACTTGAAGATGGTTTTAAAAAGGTCAGGGAAAGTTGTTGAAACAAGAACTTGCTGGCAAGGTTCTCTTAGTTACGAGTGTATCCCATGAATTTTCTTTACTCGCTGGTCACATACAACTCCAGTAAATACAAGAGCTTTTGTTCAGATTTATTTTTTCAACAAAAGTTTTTGTCTACGTGACGTAAGTAATACTTATACAAAAATGTATTGCATTGCATAAATAAAAGGTTTTAAAAGTTAAGAGTTATATACAGGCATATATTAGTCAAAGGTAAACCTTGTAATGGATACTCCTATTACGAGAGAGAGAGAGAGAGAGAGAGAGAGAGAGAGAGAGAGAGAGAGAGAAACACTACTATCTTGACTTCATTTCACAGATTTGAAAAGCCCATGGCTACTAACCATTTTATAACCATCAGGTTGAAGAGGACACAGAGGCAGATGTAAGGAGGATGATAACAAAACTAAAAAAAGTTCCACAGCTACATGGCTGAAAAGTTTGCATTTGTTATCTCCCAATGAGTCATAATACAAACACTGCCAAAATTAGTGTTAACAAGATCTTGCTCCTACTACACTATATTTTAATTGTTTTTGCAGGTTTAGAGGGAAACATTTTAGTATGTTGGGAGTAACAAATACATGCATCAAAATAATAATTAAAGAAACTTGTTTAAATCCTGCAAATTTCTGGCAAGAAAAAGCTGTTCCTGATAATTTAGCCTCTAAAGTGCTTTAACTTTTAAATCAGAGGCTGTTTCACCTCAAGTGGCAAGAAGCATGAATTCTGTGGAACAGGTATATGGCTAATAAAAAGGATGAGTAAGGAGGTTAATGGGGTAAAAAAGAAGTCTTACTACAGAAACAGACTTGGGAAGAGATTAAAATCTCATTATGCCACACGGTATGCTTTCAAGAGTGTAAATTCCTTTCTGTTAGTACGTGCAGCCCAGATGAAAAGGGCAGCAGCCATGAACTGCAAAGGTGCCGCGACGCAGGCCAAACAGAAGGACCAGCCAAACTGGCCTTGCACAGGAGGAGGGGGAAGCTTCTTGTGGAGCAGCTCAATTCCAGCTACATAGCAGCCAACTGAACCCAGTGTGCACAAACCTGGTGAAAAAGTTGCATACAATCATAGTCAGAAAATAGCCCAAAATTCCTGGCCCACATTCTTCAGATATGCATGTTTCAGCACACTTAGACATTTGCTAAGAAGACTTACCTGCTAGGAAGTGAAGGACTCCTGTAGCAATGGCAGGATAAAGGCTGCGACAGGCACATGCACAGACCCCAATAAGGGCCCCAAAACACATGAGTCCTAGGCTGACAAAGGGCAGAAGGAACTGCAAACGCCAAAGATCTAAAGGAAATATGAATATGAGCAAAATTAGGAGCTTCCAGTTCTGAAGAACCTCTTTCCAAACTCACTGTGTCAAATATATTGCTTATAAACCAACAGAAGCTGGTTCAGTCCAACTTCTAGTTACTTATTTCTGAAAGAAACCCCACATTTATTTATTTATTTATTTATTTATTTATTTATTTATTTTTCAATTTATATCCTGCCTTTTTCCTACAAAGGGCTCAAGGCAGCTTACATCATTCTCCTCCTCCATCTTATCCCCACAACAACAACCCTGTGAGGTAGGTTGGGCTGAGAGTCTGTGACTGGCCCAAAGTCACCCAGTTGGCCCCATGGCTGAGCGGGGACTAGAACCCAGATCGTCTGAGTCCCAGTCCCAGCTCTTCACCACTACACCACCCTGGCTCACATGCTAGCTTTTGCCTGAGCTGGGTGGTACAGAAATTTATTACTGTGTAAAATAGCATTGATTTTTGCAGAGATGTACAGGACCATGCAGTATGCAGGCATAAAAAGCACAAGTATAAATTGGAACACACAGGTTAATTTGATTGGCTTTGCCATGTTAGCATAGCTGACAGTTACGCTCTTTTAACTGTGGCAAAAATTATATGCATTTTAGGGCAAAAATGGTTTGTTTCCTTTTCTAAGAGCACAGTACTATGCAAGTTTACTCAGAAATAATTCTCCTTGAATGCAGAGGGTTTTGATCCAGATAAATGACAATAGGGTAATAGCCTAAGTTACCTAAGCAAAATTTAAAAAAATACTTACAGGTCCGGTTTAGGTCACTGCCGCTATTATGATTCCCAGGATCCTTATATTTTTCCATGAATTGATCTGAGAGGGAAAAACTGACACACTTTGTGACCATCTCACCTTGCAGAATGAAAAAGTGAAATAACATTAGGGTCTGATTTGCTTTAGTGTTATGTTTCATACACAGACATGCAAACACATTTACTGAGTGTTTAATTTATACCCTGCATTTCTGACGAAAAATGGTGCTAGGTTGCTGTCAATAAAATCAAAATTAAATTAAAACAAAGCATACAATTAAATTAAAAATACAACAATAAAAAAATACACAGCACAAACCAATTAAACCCCCCTTTAGCAACAATCCACCTTAGAGAGCCAGTGTGGTATAGTGGTTAAGAGCATGGGGCTGGGGCTCAGGCAATCTGTGTTCTACTCCCCACTCAGCCATGAAACCAGTTGGGTGACTTTGGGCCAGCCACAGACTCTCAGCCCAATCTACCTCAGAGGAAGGTGTGGGAATAAAATTGAGAGCAGCAGGGGGAGAATGATGTAAGATGCTTTGAGTTCTTTGTAAGAAAAAGGTGGCATATAAATATAATAAAGAAAGAAATCAAAGACATGCCTAAATAAAACTGTGCCTGCCAGCAGATGGACAACAGAGAGGAGGCCAACCTAGTTTCCTCAGCAAGGAGATCTAAAGCCTGGGAGCAGCTCCAGAGAATGCCTTTTCTTCCCACCAAATGTGCCTCTGATGGCAGTGGTACTGAGAGAAGGAACTTTTAATTATTTGGTTGTATTTAGTTTGTGTCTGAGTATGGTTCTGTACTACTTTTTATCATGTTGCATAATAGTTTATTAATTGTATTGCTTTTATCTGCTTTACTGATTGCAGTTTCATATGCTGGTTTAGCATTTTGTAAACCACCCAGAGAACCCTCAGGTTATGGGGCAGCATAGAAGTAATATGAAATGAAATGAAACTTGGGCAGGATTTATGGAAGAAGATTATTGTTCAGGTTAAATCCAGACTGAATCCTCAGTGAGAAGTTTGGTTAACTTTGGGATGTTTAATTCTCAATAGCTGGATTCACATGCCATACCACAACCTCCCATCACCCCAGTCAGCAGTTACATATCCAAAAAAAGGGAAGCAGCCAGCCCTTGTATGTCATCGCTAAATTTCATGTGAATCCTACATTATATACAGGCAGCTGTGTTGGTCTCCAAGTTTACGTGTTCTCAAAATGCTAGGAGCCCCTTTTAACATAGGCAAAATAATTTTTATGGTACGAAGAAAATGTCAAGGTTTAAATGATGGAGACATATGTTCAGAAGATATAGTCACCTACTAACTTCTTTGTTTTGTAACTGAGAATTAACATAAATATTTAGCAACATGACTGTTCTTTGTGCTTTCTTATGAACATGCAACCTACTTAACTAATGAATTCATTTATCAATGTTCTGCATGCAACTAAATGCTAATCTCAGGAAGAAAGTGGATATTATTTATTTATTAAATTTTAAACCTGTTTTTTTCATCCTAAAAAAGAAAGGCATTTAAAATGAATTACAAAACATAAAAGCAATAGCTAATCATTAAAACATGGTCAACACCACACAGTGATTCAATATATAAATTTAAACAACAGCAGAGCCAAATATTAGTTTTAAAAGAAATATCTTCACTTTCTGGCAGAATGTGGGTAAGGAAGAGGACCTCTTGGAGTTCCATATCTTAGGCAATGCCACCAACTGCGTCTCTGCAGGAAATGGAACACAGGGGGGAACCAACCGCTGTCTTTAAAAGACAGGCATGTTCACATGGCATGAGATGGCCTTTTCTGCATTCCAATACAAATGCAAGAGACCCAAACACTAGCCTTCAAATGTTCTTCCTTCATATTTTAGTTTCTTAGAGATACTACAGGGTTGAAGAAAAGCAGTAGGCAGTATTTCCTCTACAATGGGGTTGGGGTTGGGAGAGGGGATTCTGAGAAGGAAAATGGCAAAAAGATTAAAAGACTTCATCCTCGCCATTCTTTCTCCCCACCTGCTTTTAAAAAGCAATTACGAGATGAAAGATCCAGTCCAAGTACAGCAATGTCCCAATGGGATAAAGTATAGAGAAAGATAAATTTAAATTCAAGAACCTCTTTGAAGTAGGTTTACCTGGTGAGTTGTAAAAGTAATAGTTTTCAGACATTGTGATACACCTTCGCCAAAGTCCAATGGTGCCATTCCACCGAAAGAGAGCTTCTGTATAAGAGTTTTCATCTGCATTTTCACCAAAGAGTTCATCCCAAGTAGCCTTACTTTCACTGTTATTTTCAGGTGGTGATGGGTTACGGTACTCAAACCAGAAATCTGTGCCAATTGAAGCAGCCAAATAGATGGTGGAGATAAGGCTGAGGACACAGGCAATCACCAGGGCAGTGGCAAAACGGTTATCCATCATGGTGTCTCAACTACTATCAATGACAGAAGAAATCAAAACTTATTTGGAATGATAATCATTTAAGTATAATAAGAACTAGCTCAACCTCATGCCCTTCCAGCTACCTGTAATTGGTAACCGTTCAATTATAGGAATCTAGGGAGGATTTGAGGACTGGACTGGGAAGCTCTACAAACTGAATTAGAAGGCTGTAGATTAGAACCTCTCAGCTAGGTTGCTTTCCTCAGATTCATATACCTGCTGCTCTCTTCATTCTTTACTTATATATCTGTGGAATTCAACATGAAAACAGTACAAGAGTAGTAAAATAATGTCCACTAAAATATACTTATGTATGTACGTAAGTAAAACTATTTAACATACAAGTGTACTTATGTATGTACATAAGTAAAACTATTTAACATACAAGTGTAAGTTACTGTTCCTCATGTTTGGTCTAGTAAAATCATGTATTTCAAGAAATCAAAGGGGGCGGCATAGAAGTGTTTTAAACAAATAAATAAACAAATAAAGGCAAAGTATTATCTCAAAAACTTTTAAAACCTGTGTACTTAACCTGGGGCAGAGATATTTTAAATTAAAAATTAAAAGTTCAAATAACTTGTGATTTAATAAAATATCAAAGTGGAAAGAAACAAAGTATCGGTGTGCTGCTTTAGCATGCTCATCTTATTACAAAAACTCTGCAAGATGTGGCTGTATTCCTATACTGATATTACAGATGAACGACTGAGGCGAACAGAGACTTGTCCAAGTCCATTTAGTAAATTCATAGCTGGCGAGATTTGAACTGATATCTTCCACCTACATTTTTAAGTGTAACACTTCACCATCGTTTACAGAAGTGGGCCTGTATATAGAATAAAATATTAAATAAATAACATATTTAAATCTTCGAAGATTCATCCAAAAGTATTCAGACTATATCCATGATCACAAGCCCTCTTAGTTCTTCACAGAGACCTTGTTCAAATACAATATTAAACCATGATTTAATGAAATCTTCCCCAAAATAGCTCTCTTCAGGCATTTCAACTACAGCTTTCATTTGTCTTAAGCACTGGCCATGCCGATGGGAGTTGTAGGCCAAAGCATCTGGACCCAGTTTTGGGAAGAATAGTTTAGCATTATGGAACCAAGCCTCGGGATTGCACAAATAAGCATTTGTTTCTGTTTTAAATTAATTACACTTCACATTGCCCAAACCAGGACAAACTGTAATAAACCTTATCAAGGGGTTGTTGAAATAAACCAAGTTTAAGCCATAGTTTATGCAGCAATCTTTTTTTTAATTACCAATACTGAAGGCTGGCTGAGCGTGTTCAGCTTATTAAACTGGCAAAGAACTGACAAGTAAGTATAATATGACAGGACATCAAGCTGATTCAGTAGCATACCATGTAATGGGTTATCTTAGTTTGCAATATGTTTCTTCTAAGTAAGAGTGAAGATTCAAGTGAAAGGTGGACCATGCCCTGGAGCTTATGAAGGTAATTGGGACTCAGGCGACCTGGGTTCTAGTCCCCGCTCAGCCATGGAGCCGACTGGGTGACTTTGGGCCAGTCACAGACTCTCAGCCCAACCTACCTCACAGGGTTGTTGTTGTGGGGATAAGGTGGAGGAGGGGGAAGATGTAAGCTGCCTTGAGCCCTTTGTCGGAAAAAGGCAGGATATAAATAGGAAAATAAATAAATAATTAAAGGAAATTCTCAGGAAAGAAGTTTTTGTAAAGGTGGTTAAGAAGAGATAAGCACAGAGAAAGGGTGGTGTCAAGGCTTACTGTATTAATGTAGAAAGAATGGAAGTTGAAATACAGAATGAGAATGGAGAGAGGGAGAGATAAGTGAAGTCACAGCTCATTTAACAGAGAAACTGAGCCTGCAACAGCAGTTTAACTCGAGTCAGTTTCCTTGTATGTAACCTACTTCACACTGGAAACTTCCTTTGACTGTTGAAACATACAAGGAACCTGACAAGGAATGATTACTATATTCAACAGCACATATCTTGTGCACTTGTGAAAGACCAGGGAAAGTAACAAAACACCCAACTCCATTTGTATACTCCTGAAGCGAATTTTTTTCTCTTTCACTCTAAGAACCACTGGATATTATCTTTGGTAAAACAGGAGAAGTGCCAGATGACTGGAGAAGGGTTAAATTTGTCCCTATCTTCAAGAAGGGGAAAAAAGATGAACCTGGGAACTATAGAACAGTTAGTTTGACATCAATCCCTGGAAAAATTCTGAAGCAAATTATTTAAAAAGCCATCTGCAAGTATCTTGAAATGCAGTGATTAATAGAAGTCAACATCGATTTATCAAAAATAAATCCCATCAGACTAATTTAATCTCATTTTTGACTGGGTAACCTCATAAATGGACAAAAGGAACACTGTGGACATAAGCTACCTAGACTTTAGCAAAGCTTTCGACATAGTGTGACAGGCCATTCTGATAAGTAAATTAATAAAAACTGGACTAGATGGAAAAACTATTAGGTGGATCCAAAATTGGCTTCTAAATCAAACACGAAAAGCGCTCATCAATGGCACCTTCTCAAATTGAATGGAAGTAACTAGTGGGGTGCCACAGGGTTCAGTCCTGGACCCAGTGCTCTGCAACATCTTTATTAATACTCGTAAATTAGACGAGGAAGTACAAGGAAAGATAATCAAAATTGCAGATGATACAGAATTGGGTGGAATAGAAAACACCCTAGAAGACAGAATAAAGATCCAGGGAGATCCTGATAAACTTGAACACTGGGCTCAAAGCAACAGAATAAAATTCAATAAGGACAAGTTCTCCACCTAGGAGAAAGAAACCAAATGCATCGATACAAGATTGGGAATATGTGGCTCAACAGAACTGAAAAGGAAAAAGATCTTGGAGTAATTGTGGACAATAGGCTAAACATGAGCCAACAATGCGATGTAGCTGCCAAAAGGGCAAATGCTATTTTGGGATGCATTAATAGAAGTATTACTTCTAAATCATGAGAAGTAGTAGTTCCTCTATACTCCTCACTAGTCAGGCCTCATATGGAATTCTGTGTCCAGTTCTGGGCACCAAGATTTAAGCAAGATGCAGGAAAATTTGGACCCTTTCTAGGGCAACAAAAATGATTCAGGGTTTGGAAACACTGCCCTTTGAGGAAAGACTGAGAGAACTGAGCATGTTCAGTCTTGAGAAGACTGAGGGGGGACATGATATCCCCCTATAAGTACCTCAAAGGCTATCACCAAGAGGAAGGTCAAGATCTCTTCTTGGTGATGCCAGAGTGTAGGACACAGAATAATCAATTCAAGTTGTGACAACCCAGATTCAGGCTGGACATCAGGAAATGCTCCCTCACTGTCAGAGCAATACGGCAGTGGAACCAGCTGTCTAGAGAGGTGGTGGGCTCTCCCACACTAGAGACAGTCAAAAAGAAACTGGACAGCCATCTGAGTGGGATGGTGTAACTTGGTGTCCTGCAATAGCAGGGGGCTGGACCCGATGGCCTTCATGTTCCCTTCCAACTCTACTATTCTATGATTCTAAGTGACGTTGGTCACTGGAAAGATCATGGGCTTTTTCACTACTCTTGCCAAGTGGCTTTGGAGTCAATTGGCACAATCTCTGGTGCCAGGTTTGCACAATATATCAAGCTATGAGAGCAAACTGTTCTTAACAACCCTACTACAAACCATGGGTCCTCACAGTGTCTTGCTGGCAAAATAAAATAAATAAACCAACCCATGCAGAGCTGCCTGCACTGAGTTTAGATGTTATGGCAAAGTTATGCTGATACACATACAGCTCAAAATTCAGTGTGGCTTATTTTGATTTGTACTCCCAGACAAATATGCTGCCCTTCACTAACCGATGCCTGACTGAGTACTAAAGAAGACTATCAAATCATGAGCATATATATAATTCACTTTCTTGCATCCACAGCTCACTACTAATGCATTAAATTCAGGTATTTTTAAAGAAAAATAGGGTTTTTTAAAATTAAAATTTAATTATTGTGAGATTTAAAAAAAGAAAGAAAACATTTAAAATTAAAAGTGGATGTAAACATGTTACCATTGTGGCCTAACAACAGAGAGATCCAAGTTCAAATCTCCATACAGCTCTGAGGTTGATTGGTTAATTCTCGGCCAGTCATTCTTTCTCATCTATCCTACTTCATACAGCTATAAGGATAAAATGGGAACAGGGAAAGGGAGAACCCAAGCTCTTTGGAGAAAGAATGAGACTGAATTTTTAAAAAATTAACCAAAGCACATTTTCTCAAAAGTAAGCGCCCTTCATTTTGATGAAACATATGACATGACTACCCATTGTAGGCTATTACCCACAATGGGTTATTGTGTAATACGAACCTGTACCAGTTTCCCCACACTAGCATGGCAATGTGCAACAAGCCACCTCAACAACCTATGGGGTTATACCCACAATGAGTTATCCTGTTGTCCAAACCTGAGTGATCAACCCATTGTGGCCAGAGGGAAGTGGCTATGGAACCACCAGGCAAAGCAGCAAAAAACCCTTGCTACCATTGCCAAATGGCTCTTAGGCTGTCATCAGTGTGCCCAAGTGACACTTAAGGGCAGTTGGTATTATCTTCCCCCTCTCCTTACTATCACTGCAAGCTGTTTCAGGCTCACTGCAGCTTTTCCCCTTTTCCCCATTTTTTACAGACAGCTTTCATGCTTGCTATTTTGATGGCCACTGAGAGTCCCTTCAAAGTACTCAAGCAGCACCTTGGGGGTGTTGTCTGTAGCTGGCAGAACCATTTAAAAATGTGCAAAAACATTCTTTTGAAAAAAGTTAGGTGCACTGACACAACTGCAAGCTTTCTACAGGATTTGACTATGGGAATTTGATCTTTCAACTGTATATGTCACAATGAAAAAATATCCACTGCTAGGTCAGAAACCCTTTCCTTAGAAAAGAGGGAGGTTCACTTTTGCACATAGAAGCTTGAGAAAAGGTGCAAATCGTGTACCAGAATGTGAACTAGCTGGAGATGGGGAAAAAAACTGCATCTTGCTATGAAGAGGATGTAAATCCCAGTGCACCACAAGAACATTTGGTTTGTCTTGACAGTTCACCTTTTGACAGCTGTCCAGAGAAACCAAACTGAGGGAGACATTATTTGGAGCCTCTTCTAAGCAATGTCCAGGATTGGTATATGTTGAGTCTTGACAGCAGGTAATCTCCAGGACATTGTCTCAGTCAAGGCTTCAACCCCTCAGTCATGCAACTGTGAATATTTATAGCTGTGCGACTGCAATAAGAAATGAGCTTTTTGCACACACCTTTTTACCAGTCATTGACAGTCGCTCTGAGGTGCTGTTTGGGCTGTCAGAGGCTGCAAAAATCATTGGGTAGCAACATCCAGCTGTCAAGAAGCTTTTGTAATCTCTAGTATAAAAGGAGGCAGAGGAGGAAAATGCTGTGGGTCATTCAAAACTTTTTGCAATCATAGCAGGGAAAGCTCATTAATTTATCAATTCATGGTTTATTACAAGGGTGGGTTAGCATGACTTGCAAATGTACACTGTCATGGAAGGGTATCTATTAGCCTACAACATTCCACCCACCCCATCTTTATAAGAAAAAAGCAAACACATAACAGTTTTCTTCTTCCAGAAATTGGAGCTGAAGAATAACTCACCAGCCTTAACATGTCTTATTTTCACAATGCTGTCCCCAGGGCATTGCAATTTTTAAATAAGGCATTTTTTGGTTTTTAAATTTGGCTCAGAGAAAAATAATGAAACAAATTGCAGAAGCTAGCAGAAGCCAATCAAGTTTTCCTTTAAAATAATCTAGGAATCTTGATTTTTTAAAAAATAAACAAATTGGGTAGGCAATGTGCAAATTTAGGGTGGTCCAGCAGTAGCTCTAAGTTTTAGTTTAGAGCATGCACAGCTAAACAATGGATGTCCACCATGAGGCCATATTAGATTATACCTTCCTAAAGTTTGAGATGCAGGGGATGACCATGACTTGGTATCTGATAGTGGTGTCAGGAAATGCCATCTCATACTGATGCTAAACTCAAACAACTAGTCAATCCACACTAGTAAATATAAAGTATAAACCAGATAAAAGTTTAGCATATCTGATCCTGTCAGCCTGTACACAAAATGAAAAATAAATAGGTCATTTGTAACCTAGCACTTTTCTCTTATGTCAATAGCTTGAAAAGGGTCAGACCACTGCTTCAATACACCACAGAGTTTTATAAGATATCCCTATTGTTACAAACAGTCTTTCACAGGGGTAGTGGAAACAAGACTTCCTTTGATGGAAAGCAACATCTGAGGGCAGAAATTGCCATTGGGTATGAACACAAAGTCCATTCACATTTGAATGTGTTGTTATCATTCATCGTCACATCAAGCAGGGATTGCTACCACTGAAAATATCTTTATAACAGAGATTCAACCCTCATGGTGCATCCACCCTTGCAAAAAAGGGTATATATGTTTGCATTAATTCCAGAACAAGAGCACACAATTATAATATACTCTTCCCTCTTGTGTCCCCATTCTCCTTCCACCTTAATTTTCACATTCCATGTATAACTCTACTTACCTGGGAGTCTGCCCCTTCAACCATCTCAAAACAGAGCAAGAGTAAATAACGCCAAGACCCTACTTAAAAAATGCTACAAGCTACCAGAGTTTCCACTTAAGGGTTATGGTGGAGATTTTTATTTGTTAATGGCAGAATGACGGCCATGGGACTTCATCGAGCTACACAGGACAAAACCTGTCAGTTCCGCCGTGGCAGGGCGTGGATGATGGTGGAGACGGTTTCCTAGCTTTTCATACACCATTCAGAAACCTTCCTCGATCTGCCACCACTCCCATCATCCCCTATCTAGCGCCCAAAAGCTATGTTGGACTGCAGCTCGGAATGATGAGGGCTGCAGTCCATTACAGCCGCTGTGGTGCCAAGTTAGGGATGATGGGAGTTGCAGTTTGTCAGGAAGGCTGTGATTCACAGGAAAGGATTACGATTAAAATATCAGGCGCAGAGCTGCAGCCCTTGCAGACACCGCTTAAACCAACCCCTTCCGCTGGAGGGGACCAGCCACCCTCCCCTCCTCCTAATCACGACTCTTCCTCCGGGGCCCATCGTCCCAGCTCACCTACCATCCTCCTCCGGACTCCACGGCGCCGTTTCCGCCGCGCGCCCTCAGGAGCCGCTCCGCTGGGAGAGCGAGGACCTCCCTGCGCGGGGACGCTCATCCGCCCACACAGCCGCCAAGCTTGCTGGGAGACGTAGTTCCCATTTCATCGCGCTCTCCGCCCGGAGCAAGGTGAGGTGCTTCCCTTTCTGGCACCTGGGCCTCATGGCTGGAGCTAATGAGAGAAATGGCCCAAGAATTTAACACCAAATGTAGTCACAGCAAAAGGCCAAACTAAACGTAGCTAGGCGCGATAGCGTTTCTTATTCCTGTGTAAATGCATGCGGCTCCCGTAGTCCTCACAATGCTAGAAGCCAGGATCATCCTTAACGGACTGCCGGATGGGACAGTCAGGAGCGATAAAAGGAGGTAGTGCTCACGCAACGCATAGGTAAAACTATGAAACTCCTTTCCTTAAGATGCAGCGATGGCCACCAATTTGGACGGCTTTATCTTAGTTTAAAAAACAAACAAACAACAAACAACCTTGTTCCTTATTAAAGTCCATATTCCCAACTGCACAAATACTTGTTTTCAACGGTAAAAATGTATTCAGGTACACATTGAAATAAAGCATGTGCCACGAGAAGACTAACGTGGCTACCTTTCTGGCTGCCGTTTTAAGAGTCTTCTACAATTAAAACTAACAGTAAATGCTACACTGAAGTTGATTTACTCATTGTATTTATATCCTTTTTTTTTTCCTTTCAAGGAAGTCAGGGTGGCTTACAGGATTCTCCTCCTCCTGCTGCTCCTCAATTCGATCCCCACAACAACAGGCCTACTAGATAAGTTGGGCTGAGGGTTTGTGTCTTTCTCAAAGTCACCCAGTTAGCTCTGTGGCTGAAGGGAGACTAGAATCCAGATCTCCTGAGTGCATCCCAATCCCACACTCTTACTCACTTTTAATCACTACACCATACCAGCTTTCATCACACTCAAGAAGTTTCTGGTTGCAGCATCAAGAAAACATTAGACATGCAAATATGCTGGTCATGCATTCTAAAAACAATCACAGCAAAATGCCAATTGGTAAAGCTTGCAGCAATTTTAACGCCTGAACATGCCACTTAAAGGTTGGGACTCCTATTGAAAGGGCATTGCCAGTAATCCCTACCAGGAATATAGTGGTGAAGAAAGTAAAAGGCAGAAAAATATCCTAATAAGACAACTCCACAGCTTCAAGGACATTGTCTTCAGTGCCTCTGTACCAGGAGATCTATCCATCTAAGAAATTTTTAAAAAATAAAAGACTGGGCAAGTTAACCGTTATTCAAATAACAAGAGTCTCTCTGAAGCTTGAATTCACCACTTCTGCTAACTATCTATAGCCTTAAAGCCTCTTACATCTAGAAGTTCAAGGAAACCCCACCACAGTTTGTAGTCTTAGGCACCATGAAGATAACCATCAGTTTGAATAAGCATTTAGAAAGATTAGGATTGGTCGAATCAAACTAGGCCCTCCCATTGTGCACCAAACATTTTTAAATGCCTGGTCAGAGACCCATACCTGGTTATAGCATGAATGCCTCAGAAAGATTTTTCTTATCTGGAAAAAAACCAGAGGAAGACCAGAACTATTGGCTATAGCACCACTAATACACAATTGCAAAGAAAATTCCATCACAGACTGTTTTATGAGATGGAGACTCCAACTATCAGTGATGACTATCCTTATAATGGCACAGAGGGCTTTGAAGATAATTGCACAGCTGTGGAGCTACCTCACAGGGACATTTTCTTGCCTGTTCTATATAGCATTGTGTTTATCGTGGGGATTGTTGGCAATATCCTTTTGATAGGATCCCTAATCTTCAAGCGGCACATTCAGAGACAAATTGATATCTTCATAATCAACTTGGCATTTTCTGATTCTGCTTTTCTTATCACATTGCCTTTTTGGGTGGATAAGGAAATCTATTCTGGGCTTTGGAGATCTGGCACTTTTTTCTGCAAAGGCAGTTCTTACATCATCTCAGTCAGCATGCACTGCAGCATTTTTCTTCTTACAGGTATGAGTGTGGATCGGTACCTGGCCATCTTATATCCATTGGTAGCCAGAAGGTTCAGAACAAAGCAGCACTCGATCAGATTTTGCATCTGCATCTGGATTCTCTCCTGCCTGTTAGGCTTGCCCACCCTTCGGTCCAGAGATCTGCAGATATACAGTGATGATACATATTGCATGGACACAACAACCGTATTCACTCACAAGATTGAGTCATTGTTGATGCTCTTTTTTGGCTTCTTTGTCCCTTTGCTCAGTATCTTAACATGTTATTACTCCATCATCAAGAAACTCTGCCAGCATTATCAGAGAACTGGGCCACACGATAAAAAACTCAGGAAATCCATCAAAATTGTCTTCATTGTTGTTAGTGCATTTGTTTTCTCATGGACTCCTTTCAACATTTTTAAGTTTATATTTCTGGTGTTTGACTTCGAGGAACTGCAGCCACATTTCTGCTTCATCTCCAACATTGCCTATGTAGGCATGCAACTGTGTGGTCCATTTGCATTTGCACACAGCTGTGCAAACCCTTTAATCTACTTCTTCTTCGATGACTATATCCGTAAGTCCATGCTGCTATGTATTCATCCATGCACAAAGGCCAGCAATATTGGAACCAGTTCTGACACGACAGACTCTCGCCTTATCTACTCTTTGACTGCACTTGCCCATGGGGAAGATGCTTCCAGGAGAAGGAATAGGTCGGTGTCATTGTAAAAAGATCATTCTGAAAAATCCATTGCTTCCAAGTAAGGACAAAGGGAAGTAAAAATTGTGGGAAAGTGATGGAAATTTGAAAAATAAGAAATTGACTGTAATATAGTAGTACTTTAAATGGTGTGTTACGTACCTTTAATCATGCAACTAATTACAAGGTTTAATTGGAATATACTCTGTAATTATAAGAACTACAAAGATTCTTGAAGGTTATTTGGCAATTATCAAGCAGTGTTAAAAACTACAGAGAGACAAAATAATAGAAGATCTTCTGTGAATATTTTGGTATATCATGTAAGTTGTTTGAAGCTACAGAACACCCAAGCTGATTTAGACCTGAACCTTTTAATTCTGAGGAGGGAAAAAGACCTAATAAATGCTAACTAACAGAGATTCCTTTAGAATGCATAATTGTTCTGTTAAAATTCTCATCTTTTTATGTAAAACCTTTGAACAACGCAACATTCCTTTAAAATCTATTCATTACTTTTTCTGATTTACATTTTCAGTCCTTGATACCATATTATTAAATGTAAATACCAGCTTGGTTTGAATCATGCTGTTAAGTCCTATAGAGATGGAGTGAAATGAATTGGTATATAAAATAAAATTTAAATGGATATTGCTGTTTGTAAATCTCATTCATCTAAAAATACTACAGTATTACCAGGAATTCAAATGAACTAAAATGGGAAAATAATATGCGTCATTAAAGAAAAAAAGAATCATGGAAGCGCACATATAGACAAGCTAATGGATTTATATGAATTGTTGAGAGATTAGTCAGCAGTAGATGTCTCTCTTAATCTCATATATTACTTAGAATGAGGATAGTTCTCATCTAAATTCTAAAATAAAATCAGTCTGCAAGTAACCACAAATGTTATGTGTTGTGTTTCTGTTTTTAATTTAAAAAGTCATTTGGTAGATATATCATTTACATTTGGGACAAGAACTCTGTCCTATAGTTTATCGCTCACAAACATTTGCCTCTTTAACCATCATTTTGACTTTTCACACTTGATGAAATGTGAATCTGTTTTATAAATCTATAAACCCACTTGGGAAATCAATTTCAATTAACCTTTTGTGGAGTGTGAAAAAACAACTAGTTTGTGGGCTTTTTAGAACTGCTATTTCTTCTTTGCATTAAGGGTAGCATATTAAATGCTATTATGAAAAAAAATCACTGAAAAAGCTGAATGCATTTGTTCAATATGTGAATTTACATTTATTCTCTTGAAGCAAAATATAATTTTGTGTTTGTTGGGACAAAATTTCTAAAATACAATGGATCATTTTTCATCATAATCACAACCAAAATTATATTTTTTTAATCCTTTGTTTTAGCAAACAAACAACAATGAACCTCTTTCCAGTGAGATTATTTTTCTTTGAGAAGGTTGGGTTTTTGGTTTGCTGAATATGTCTTTCAAAATGCAGAAGTGTACACATCATACAAAGTTAACAAATGTAGTCAGTGTAGTGTAGCAGGAAAGAATGTTGACATTTGGATGTGAAAAGCCTGTGTTCAGATCTGTTCTCTCTCCTCAAATGAGTGAATTTGTGTTACCAGGCTAATGTAACATAAAGTGCTGACGCCAGGATAAAATACAGTCTCTCCCATCCATATATTCTTTAGCTAATCCACACTGCTTAATTCCATAGCTTTCACATACAGCCATTGCCTCTTCTATCCTTCCTTAATGTAGCTGTGTTGCTACATGTGCTCCATATGCTGCCACATGGAACAATTTTACAGTGGTGACAAGTTGTCAATATTGAGATTAAAATTATCCTGTTGAATTTTCATACTACCTTTTAATCTCACACATTTAATCTGAGAAACCCCGATGAACACCATGCACAAATAAGGCAGGATTCAACAGGACACTTATTCCCTTGCTGATTCTTTTTCCGCCCTACTAATCTGCATCCTCAAGAAGCACCTGCCACTTGCAAAACAGAGATTTAACATTTCCAGGAGCAAAAGAAGCAAGTGAAAATGCTTGTATCCAGAAAAGGGCAGGTTGGCAGGATTCACACAAGGGAACTCTGCTGACCTGCCCCAATCCAGAAATAAGTGTTCGCACTTATTTCAGGCCTTCCTCTGGGAAGTCTTAAATATCTCTGTTGTTCAAATGGTGGGTCCCATGTGCTCAATAGAACTACTTCTAAAACAGAATCTGCAGATTGCAAGAGAATTGCTAAGACATAATTTTCAGAATCTGGGCTGTCCTGGGGTTCCATCTGTAGCCAGAACCAGAATGCCTATCTCAGTGTTTGCAGGATCGGTCCCAGGCCCTGTTGCAGCTCTCAACCTCCTGATGCAGGGCTCCTCAAACTTTTTAAACAGGGCCAGTTCACTGCCTCTCAGACTTGGGCTGGGGGAGTGGACTATAGTTTGAAAATAATTAATTAATCAAAACCTTAAAATTAATTAAAAATTTAAAAATATTGTTAAAATGTTTGCTCTGCTCACTTGGACTGCAGCAGAAGCCCAAGATGAGGTGGGGAAGAGCATGTCCATATTCAAGGGACATAGCAACAATGTCCGCAATTGTATTGGGGAGGGGGGAGACAGATGTGATCACACTCGTGCAGGGAAGATGGGTGCGATTGCGGCCATCTCCTCGCCCCCCTCACAAGGATGACCACAATCACGCCAGAGATCATTTTCTCCGAGCGAGTCAAAAACCTCTGAGGTGGTCCGGATGAATGGGCATGACAGGCTGAATTCAGCCCGCGCCCCATAGATTGAGGACCCATGTCCTGATGAGTCCATACTGGGTGCCCTGCAGGAGGAACTATATAAGAGCAAGCTCTTCCCTCCAGCACTAGCTTTAGAAATGCAGGTCTTTTTTCTTTATGGTAGTCCTTGCATTCTGTTTCACTGGTTCACTACAGTAACATGGGCCTTCTTGATAGCTGTGGTGTGGTTCAGCTCCTGCACCTTGGCTGACCCTTGCTCTTTTTGGTTCCTGTTGTATCCTGCCTTGTCATGTTCCCTTAGCACTGTAGGTTTACCTGTTAGCTCTGGTGCAATTCCTGTGTCTTGCCTGATTCTTGCCATGTATCTTGCCTTGCTATGTATCCTGCCCAGTTATTCTGCCTCAAGGTATTTGCACATCTGTTTGTCTTCCTGTTCTTGACCATGATACGTACTTTTGGTTGCTCACCCTGGCTTGCTCTGTGACTATGACTTGGCCTTTGCTATTGGATTTCCCCACCTGACTTAGGACTCTGTCTTGCTGTAAGCAATGGTCCTGGTGTCTGTGTCTTGTCTCCTGCTGCTCACATCCTGGCCCTGGACCCTGATGATAAGTGCCTCACTGGATTCTCCCATGCTTTAATGGGTTCTTGGAAATATTCAATACCCCACAATAAAAATAAAGATGTTTCAGATTTCCAGTTAAATTGTGACTGCTTTACATAAAGAAGCACATTCTGATATCTAATGCTGATGACAGAAGAAATTATTCAGCCTTAGTTTCTTTTTTAGACTAAAACCTTGCCCATATTATTTTGGAGTTATGCTCTAACATAACACATTCCTAATCACAGCATCCAAACTCTATTGAGAAATTTTAATTTTTATATAAGATTTTTTTTAAAAAGTCCCATCTTAATCATACTTACTTCCTAGGTATTATTGTGTTCACTTACTGTTGCTTGCACTTAAATGAATATGTGTTGTATTATAGACCGAAATGTGTTTGATATTCAGATTATTTTAAGATCAGCAGGAAATAATGCCTACTTGTGTGGATGATGTGAGATTGCAGGTTTTGTGACACATGCCTTCTTCTGGCCACAATTTGGGGTAAAGGAAAACCAAGATCACAACTGAAACTGGTCAGTGGTTTTAAATTAAATGATCAGGCTGGCAAAGCACTATGCTAAGCAAAATGATTTGATGCCGCTGATATATGTGGGGAGGAAAACAAATATAACATGAACCTGCAACAAAATGTTGCTGTGTTGATTGTAATTGTTCAAGGCCCATTCCATTTCTTTTCCCATCACTCCAGACAACAATTGCACACATAATTATATTCACTAGACATTTCACTGCTTGAGGCAGAACAGAAAAGTACCAAATGCTAGCCAAATTATTTTGGTACCTGAGGCAGAGAATCCCACAAAAATGTGTCTGTCCATTCCTGTTGCAAAAATATAGCAATATTTTACCTCTTCCTGCCTTTTCATAGCACAAAATCCACCTGAGGTCGCTGCTCTGTGTATCTTGACGGTAACTTAAATCACTTTGAGGTCTTCAGATATAGCACCAAAGGAAGACAAGTTGATTTTCCAAGTGTTCACTCTGAAAAGGCTACTTTAATTCTCTTTCTTATTTATCATTATTGTATGAGGTAGAAGAAAGAAGTGTAAGAACAGTCATAACACATTTCTTTGGACTGTAAAACAATGAAGGCAATGTATCTTTCACTTAGTACAAGTTAATAAATGACATTATGCATCTGAATACATAAGAACAAGCAGAACAAAACATTGTAAAAACTACAGGCAGCAAATTCATTATTATAACACAGCAGCAATGTGAAAGTAGCAGTGTGCTTAAATGTTGCTTTGCCCATGCTTTCCCACCAGTGCTGACCCTACTAATAGGCACGACAAAGCAGAAGCTGGCTCAGGGTGTGGAACAGCAGGGAGATGTTGGAGGTCAGAGCAATGTGGGCCATATGGCTTGAGCTGTGCTCCCCAAGCTGGCCGCTGCTCTCAGAGGGACACCAAGACGTCTCCCGTGTCAAAATATGATTTGACTACCAGTCCAATCAACTTTTGGATGTGTAATGGAGAACATCATTGTCCTTTGCTTGAGAAGCACATTGTCTCAGGCCAGTCCTGATCTCTGCTGTGTGTAAGAATAAACCCTCTGGATCAGACCAAAGGTTGATCTAGCTCAGCATTCAGTTCCAAATTCTCTCCATAAAATAGAAAAGTATTATCAATTTCCATCTCTCCACCCATGCCATATGTCTTTGTTCTGTCCCCTGCCTGCCTCCACAAACCTACCTGAAAGGCAACCATTCAGTCCTCTACTGCTCAGCTGTTCCCATTCTTTATGAGATGGGCACATCTTTCATACAGTAATGCTACTGGATAGCAGTGCTTTATATTGTTCGAATGCTTTAAAAACGTGACGGGGAGATGGAAAAAAAAGTGTGGGTTTGTAAGACTAATGAAACAGTTTGGGATTCCCCTATCCACTGTGTTCTGATTTCTGACTTACCATCAAGTTCGTGACAACAACAAAATGGCTTGCTTGATTTGAGTCAGTTGTTACTAAGCAGAGAGGTTTCTCTCACATCTCTCCCTAGAAGCTGACTGATCTCTCTACCCAGGAGAAAAACACTCTTTGCACGAAAGTTTTGATCTTACAGAGAGGTTTTTTCCCCACTATTTGCAGGCACGAAATATTTCCCAAGAACCATTGTGGCCAAATGGGAAGAGAATAAATCAAATGAATCAATAAATGAACATAACAGTCTATATCCTAAATGGGACATGTTCATTTTAGGTCTGTCATACTTAGTCCAAGCTATCAAAGCAAGTGTAGGGAGCTAATGTCCTGAACCCTGTACCTATTTATTTGAAAATACTTCTTTTTTTTGGGGGGGGGGGGTCAAAATTTTACTATTTTCTATACAAACTAGAAAAAACAACAATTATTTCCAAGGCATTGGGTCATCTTATTCTACTTAAAATTAATCACCATATTCAATT